AAAAAAAAAGAATTTAGAGCAGAAATCAATGAAATTGAAAACAAGAAATCAATAGAGAAAATCAATGAAACCAAAAGCTAGTTCTTTGAAAAGATACATAAAATTGATAAGCCTCTGGCCAAGCTAACTAAGGAAAAAAAGAGATGACACAAAGTTACTAATATCAGGAAGGAAAGAGGAACATCACTACAGATCCCATGGAAATTAAAAGCATAATAAAGTAATACTACGAACAACTCTATGCTCACAAATTTGATAACCTAGATGAAATAGACCAATTCCTGGAAAGATACAATCTGCCAAAATTCACACAAGAAGAAATAGATGATCTGAATAGGTCTATATCTACTAAAGAAATTAGATAAATAATTAATAACCTCCCAAAACAGAAAGCACTAGGCCCAGATGGGTTCCCTGGTGAATTCTACCAAATGTTTAAGGAGGAAAGTATACCAATTTCTACAATCTCTTTCAAAGGATAGAAGCATAGGGAATACTTTCTAATGCATTCTATGAGGCCAGCATTACCCTAATACCAAAACCAGACAAAGACATAACAAGAAAAGAGAACTACAGACCAATATCTCTCATAAACATAGATGCAAAAATCCTCAACAAAATACTAGCAAATTGAATCCAAACAACTATAAAAAGAACGATACATTGTGATCAAGTGGAATTTATCCCAGGTATACAGGGCTGTTCAACATTTGAAAATCAATTAATGTAATACATCACATCAAGAAACCAAAAAAGAAAAATCACATGATCATATCAAGAGATGCAGAAAAAACATTTGATAAAATCCAACACTCAAGTATGGTAGAAACTCTCAGTAAACAAGTGGAATTTGAAATTAAAAACAAAATACCATTTACTTTATTAGCACCCTCAAAAATTAAATATTTAGGTATAAATCTAACAAAATGTATACAACAAGATCTATATGAGAAAAACCATAAAACTCTGTTGAATGAAATCAAAGAAGAACTAAATAAATAGAGAAATATTCCACACTCATGGATAGGAAGACTCAATATCGTCAAGATGTTAGTTCTTCCCAACATGATCTATAGATTCAATGCGATTCTAATGAAAATTCCAGCAAGTTATTTTGTGGATATTGAGAAACTGTGAAAATATATGGAGAGGCAAAAGACCCAGAATAGTCAACATGATATTGAAAGAGAAGAACAAAGTTGGAGGACTGATACTACCTGACTTTAAGATTTACTATAAGGCAGGCCGGCCCTGTGGCTTAGTGGTTAAGTGCGTGCGCTCCGCTGCTGGCGGCCCGGGTTCGGATCCCGGGCGTGCACTGACACACCACCTCTCGGGCCATGCTGAGGCCGCGTCCCACATACAGCAACTAGAAGGATGTGCAGCTATGACATACAACTATCTACTGGGGGGCTTTGGGGGGAAAAATAAAATAAAATAAGATTTACTATAAGGCTACAGTAATCAAGACAGTGTGGTATTGGTGAAAGAATAGACAAATAGATCAATGGAACAGAATAGAGAGCTCAGATAGAATCTCATACATGTAGTCAACTAATCTTTGACAAAGGAGCAAAAGCAACACAATGGGCAAAGACGGTCTCTTCAACAAATGGTGCTGGAACAACTGGACATTCATGTGCAGCAAAATTAATCTAAACGAAAACTTTACACACTTCACAAAAAATTAACTCAAAATGGATCATAGACCTAAAAGTAAAATGCAAAATTCTAAAACTCCTAGAAGATAACATAGAAGAAAACCTAGATGACCTTGGGTATGGTGATGTCTTTTTAGATATAACACCAAAGACATGATCCATGACAGAAATCATTGATAAGCTAAACTTCATTAAAATTAAAAACTTTTGCTCTTTGAAAGAAAATATCAAGAGAATTAGAAGACAAGCTACATCTGGGAGAAAACATTTGCAAAAGACACATCCGCCAAAGGACTGTTATCCAAAATATACAAAGAACCCTTAAAATTCAACAGTAAGCACAGAACCTGATTATAAAATGGGCCAAAGACCTTAACAAGCACCTCACCAAAGAAGATTCACAGATGGCAAATAAGCATATGAAAAGATGCTCCACATCATATGTCATCAAGAAAATGCAAATTAAAACAACAATGAGAGACTACTACATACCTATCAGAATGGCCAAAATCCAGAACACTGACAACACCAAATGCTGGAGAGAATGTGGCATAACAGGAACTCTCACACATTGCTGGTGGGAATGCAAAATGGTATAGTCACTGTGAAAGACGGTCTGGTGGTTTCTTACAAAACTAAGCATACACTTACCATATAATCCAGCAATCATGCTCCTTGGTATTTACTCACAGGAGTTAAAAACCTGCACAAGAATGTTTATAGTAGCTTTATTCATAACTACAAAAACTTGGAAGCAACCAAGATGTCCTTCAGTAGGTAAATGGATAAATAAACTGCCGTACATTCAGACAATGGAATATTATTCAGTGCCAAAAAAGAAAGATAGCTCTATCAAGCCATGAAAAGACATGGAGGAACCTTAAATGCATATTACTAAGTTAAAGAAGCCAATCTGAAAAGCCTGCATAATGTATGATTCCAACTGGAATTGGACATTCTGGAAAAGGCAAAACTATAGAGACAATAAAAATGATCAGTGGTTACGGGGGGCGGTGAGGAGAGTTATATAGGCAGAGCACAGAGGATTTTTAAGGCAGTGAAAATACTCTGTATGATATTATAATGATGGATATATGTCATTATACATTCGTCCAACCCATAGACTATATAACACAAAGTGTGAACCCTAAGGTAAACTACAGACTCTGGATGATTACGATATGTCAATGTAGGTTCATCCTTGGTAAAAAATGTACCATTCTGGTGAGTGATATTGATCAAGCCTGATGCTAGGCGTGTGTGAGGGCAGGGGATATATGGGAAATCAGTACCTTCCTCTCAATTTTATTGTAAACCAAAAACTGCTCTAAAATAACTGTCTTTTCTAAAAATCTATTCTTACCTAAAATAATTCACCTTTGAGATGTATCTAATCACTGAAAACTTCATACTAAAATTTCCTTTCAACAATATTGTTTTCTTTCAAAGCACAGTATAGGATATCTGTCTTCCCCTCTTTTTGATATTCCATGGTAGGAGAGACACGTTGGCACCTGTCAACAAGATGAAATCTGAATGACTGTGGATTCTGATTCTAGTTCCTCCACTATTTTGCTAATTTTCCTTTACTACAATAGCCTCCATTGTTTTCATGTTTAACACGGAAGCCAGAGAAGCCTGATTTAATAGATGATGAATATTCCATAGTTGTATGCAAATAGTGTACTTGAAGATTTATCTCCTAGAAGAGGAATTAGACTTGTTTGGTATGATCCCAAGAGTTCAAACTAGGACTGCTGGGTGGAAACTACAGAAAAATACTTTACAGTAATGGAAATGTTAGAACTATATCAGTGGAATATGTAGACTTAGTCAATAATGAGTTCCCCATCGTGGTAAGTGTTTAAGAACAGGCTAGATATTTATTAGGGGGAATTCAAGCCTCTGTTTTCAACTGAGGCTAAGATGAAGTAATCCATGTGGGATAAAAGTTCACAACATTACTAAAACTTTGCAACAAAAATGGACCCCAAAAATAGTTCTGGAAGTTTTTAAAAACTTAACTGAACTATAAATGTATCTATAGAATATCATCTTTCAATATCAGGATAAATAGGCTTTTTTGTTTTTGTCAGAGTGGGACCCAGGTTCTCTGACAATGTTGTTAAGATATGCGAAGTCAAGAACCACTGTACTCACTGATGGTATTTGTTCTAGAAATTTATGAGTTTTACCACCTTAAAAAGCAGTTTTTCTCTACTGAATGTACAACTTTGGGTACTTAAAAATGCAGATTGTGGCTTTTACCATGCCCGGCCCCCTCTTCCCAGCATTTGTCATTCAATATTTCTTTGTGGAGCCCAGGCATTTGATTTTTAACAATATTCTAAGTGATTTTTATTGTAGATGGTCATAAAACTACCCTTTGAGAAACACATTCAAAGAGGAGAGCAGAAAAGCTCAACTCCCATTCTCTCTAGCCAAGGTTTATGAGAATGCTATAGAACTTTATGTTCAGATGAATTCCATCTTAAAACAAAAACACTGACACATTTTGGTTTTTCTTCTATCTCAGGGCCAAAAGCCAAAATGAAATTTATAGCGCTTGCTGTCACCGTTGGGCTAACTTTGCTGCTAGGAGTTCAAGCCATGCCTGCAAATCGCCTCTCTTGCTACAGAAAGATACTAAAAGATCGCAACTGTCACAACCTTCCAGAAGGAGTAGCTGACCTGACAAAGATGGATGTAAACGTCCAGGATCATTTCTGGGATGGGAAGGGATGTGAAATGATCTGTTACTGCAACTTCAGTGAATTGCTCTGCTGCCCAAAGTAAGGAAATGCAATCACAAAACATATTGCTATGAAATGTATGCATTACAACTTTTTTTAAAGACACCTTCATAATGAGTTTGCTGAAATTAATCACCATTTTTAGTAAAATCCTGTTCAAATCTCAGCTATTTTCTAGAATCATCACCATCGTGTATGGACTGAATGTTTTCATTTAAGAAACAGAGTTTGGCAGATTTTAGTAAAACTAAATTAAATCCAGGAAATTAATAACACTCCAATCTATTAAATTCTAAATTTCCTATCTGATTTTTTTTTATAATTTTATTTATTTATTTTTTCCCCCAAAGCCCCAGTAGATAGCTGCATGTCATAGCTGCACATCTCTCTAGTTGCTGCATGTGGGACACGGCCCCAGCATGGCCGGAGAAGCCGTGCATCGGTGCGCGCCCGGGACCTGAACCCAGGCTGCCAGCAGCGGAGCGCGTGCACTCAACCGCTAAGCCACGGGGCAGCCCTCCTATCTGATTTTAACCACACACAAAAAAAAACCTGTTGGTAGCTAAGTCACCTTCAAGGTTGACATCTTAAACCAATTTGAAAAACTAATAAAAGGCTTTAGATACAAGATTCCAGTGAACAGGATCAAGTAATTAACTAGACAGAAAACTTCAGTAAAGGTCAAAGAAAAATTTTCTAGCTCTATGTACGAGTTAACCAGAAATTAACTAAATAGAAGTTATCCACTCACTTGGAAAGTAGATGTATTTTAAGTATAATACAATGGTAGATAAATCAATAAATATTTTTAGCACTTGATTTTAAAATCTTTTTCCTCTAGTTACTGACAAATCTTTCAAATACTATGATCTTAGCTATTTCATACTGAAATTAGCTTTTACAAATTACTTTCAACATATGTCATCATATTTTCATTTTTCTAAGAAATCTGTGAGGTAGAAAGGGCAGATATAACCATCTTATCAAGGAAAGGTATAGAGAGGTAAAATGACTAGCACCATCCCACATAACTAGTTAATATCAGCACCAAGACTAGAACACAGGTCTTCTGATTTGGACTAGACATTTTTTCTATCAAGCCAGTTGGTTCTTAAAGTATGGTTACCAGAACAAAACCTTCAATATCTCCTGAGTTCTTGTTAAAAATGCACATCCATCCTTGGGCCCCAGACCAGACCAGCTGAATCAGGAACAATGGAGCTGAGGCATAACAATTATGGCTTAAACCCTCTAGGTGATTCTGATGCATGATAAAGTTTGAGAATCACTGTATTAAATGATGATAACAAGAACTTGAGTTAACTGATTCCATAAAATGACTTAATTTATCCCAGATTACTACATAAATGAAATGACATCTACTATTAAAATACCATGTTTGCTTTTTTTAAATGTAGGACTTGAAACCAATTAACTGAAATGTACTTGTATTTATTTCATGATATAATTTTGTGATTATCTGTGTTAATAGATGAGAACAGAAGTATGGACATACAAAAGTAGTTTCTATCTGATTTGGGGTTATCATTTTCTCAGTAGCAACAGACTTACCTTGCTAAGCATATTTCTTTTTTTCTTTTCTGCCTGTAAACACAAATCTTAATTTGCCATCCTATTTTTTTCAATTTTATTGAGATTTAATTGACATACAGCACTGTATAAGTTTAAGGTGTACAGCATAATGACTTGAAATACATATATTGTGAAATGATTACCATAATAAGTTTAGTTAATATCCATCACCTCATACAGTAACAAAATAAATTTTTTTCCTTGTGATGAGAACTTTTAGGATCTACTCTCTTAACTTTCAAATATACCATACAGCAATGTTAACTGTATTTATCATGTTGTACATGACATGCTAAATATATTTCTAATGAGCCATAATCATAACACTACCTTGCACACATATACAATTTTAAATTATTCCATACATTTTTATGCATTACCTGATGTGATCTTTCAAAAAATAGAGTTGAGTAGCTAAACATTTCTCCCTTCTCTATAAAACTTAGAAATTGATTTATTGACTTTCTAAGAAATTTTTAATCTTGGTTTCTTACCTGTAGATTTAGACTTCATGACGTATCCCTACCCATATCAGAGAAATGAAATTTTTTTGTATGACTATATGTTTTGAAATCACTCAATCTTTCCTTTTCATTATGGATAAATGATAGCATATCAATGGCAAATGGAGAGAAAGTAGAAGAATTGATTACCTTCTTGGTCTTTGTTGCTCCTGTAGCAAGTCCTCCCATTCATTCTTTTTGTAATTTATTCACCTAAAAAGAATAGTCATATCTGAAATCCTGGAAATCACTGACAATTTTTAACCCAGGAAAGACTAAAATATATCTTAACTTTCAGCTGTATTTAACTTATGTTGTACTTTCTTTCAGAGATGTCTTCTTTGGACCAAAGATCTCGTTTGTGATTCCTTGCAACAATCACTGAGAATCTTCATGTATTCTGGAGAACACCATCCCTAATTTCCCACAAACCGCACTATATCAGTGTAACTGCATTTCTAGTTTCCATGTAGTGCAATAAAGCACAGATTCTATAAATTTTTACTTGTCTAGGACAAGTAAACTTGTGTTAAATAAGTAGTAATAAAAATTAATTCAATTTAACTTTTCTCTGTGGACATTGTTGGCACTGGTTTAAAAATTATAGCTAGAAAATTTTCATCTACAAGGTATTCACTATGCTCAGTAAAAGAACTCTGTCCCCAGATGAATAGCTATAATCCTGGCTCAAAGACTGAGAACACTTTCAGTTCTTAGTTGACAGCTATTGATCATATATACTTAATGGAAAGAATCAGATATAAATTGAGGTTTTTGGAAGGGAAATTAGAAGTTTTCTAGTAAGGGGGGGAAAGGGAGCCAATATTTGAGTGTCTATTATGTATGCCAAGTACTTTAAGTACATTTGCAATTTATCCTCTTAAAAAACAACAAAAGCTTTCAACGTATTCTTAAACCTGTTTTTGAGATGCTAACTCAAGTTTTTAATATTTACTAAAAATCAAGACAGAATTTGAACAGAGTTCTAATTCCAAAGCTCATACACTACACACACTCACACATAGCTATATCCTTAAAACTATGATACATATTCCTGATGCATCCATTTTTCTTGAGAATAACAAAACACATATTAAAGGAAACATGTAATGGATGAGAATTAAAAAGTCACATGAATTTTAAAGGTAAATAAAACAGATTCCTTCAGAGATATTTTGATTGTTAGAGGCAGCTTTGGACTATGCCTCCATATCTTAGGAGGTATGCATTGACTAGTGGCCATTAGGGGTAATTTCAGAAAGGTCCTTTATGCTATAAAAATTTATTAAATGCTTGCTAAGTGCCAGCTATTATTAAGATGTAGAGACGTAGTAATGAACAAGATGGACTTGTCTTCTTGGAACTTGTATTCTAACAAAAGTGTAATTATTACAAATAAATAATTATTTATAGATGTGAAGCCTGCTACAGAGGAGAAGCATGGGGTGCTATACACAGTACTGTTGAGGAGAAAAGTTTGAGAAGCACCATACCATGTAGTAAATCCAGGAGATATCACTTTGTGAATAAAAGTGACATCATTTCATTGAAATATATTCTTGGAGGTCCCTGATCTGCTTCTGAAGACCATATCCAGAACAGTATCTGGTATCTATTCAGTGTTCAGTAAGTGTTACTGGGCTGGACCAAACAATTTTGAGGTAGTCAGAATTCAGTTCCTCCTAAAATCTGCACAAACATAAGTCAGAACATGTTTTCAAATGGTATGACCCCTACAAAAATGCATGAAGAAGTGGAATTGTAACACAAACAAACAAAGAAATTCATTGCTTTATCAACATAGCATGTGATTTGATTGGGCTTTTTTTCTTCACTGAATTGACTGGTATCAAAATCAAACTAACTCAATAATGGAAGTCTTATTTCCTTTCTGGAACAGTGCATAGAATAGGTAAATAAAGAAAATCATGAGTAAACTTGTTTCAATTTCTACTTGGTATAGACTCTCTTTGAGGGAGAAAAAAAGCATTAAAGGTTGTTTCTCTATTTACAAATGACATATCAGCATGAGGACATATGTGAGGCAACAATGGCTTTTTAATAAGTATTCCCTTAAACTTTGACTGCAATCAAAATCTTATGAGAAAAATAGTATTTGAAAAAAAGCTAAATACTTATTAAAAGGAATTTTATAGATTATGATTATTTTTCATCATATTCTCTTCTTTCTGCAAATAACTTTGTAATATGAAATTATATTACATTCTTTTAGAAATGAATGCATTATAGAAGCACACGTTCTTCTTTATATTACCAAATAAATGTAAAAACATGAATGTTCACATACCTTACGTAACTTTTTCTGACTTGGTCAATGTTTTTAAAAGCAAACATTTCATTCAATCATATTAATGAATAGATGCTTTATTTTTTCTACAAGAAAAGACAACTAGGCTTTTTATTAAAAATGTATTATTGCTCTAAATACTGTCTCACACCTGAATGAGGTAAGTACTATCATGATCCCTGGACATGATATGGACATGATATGTCCCTATGGACAAAAATGCCAATGTTTAGAGAGATTAAGTAGCTTGTCTAAGGCTACATTATCAGAACAGTAGAGCCAGGTTTTGGATATGGCCAGTCTTCCTCTAGTATCTAGATTCTTCACTGTAAATACCTACATTAATAAGAAGAAAGATCTCAAATCAACAACCTAACTTTATATCTTAAGAAATTAGAAAAAGAAAAGCAAATGATCCAAAGCCAGCAAAAGGAAGGAAAGAATAAAGACTAGAGCAGGGATACATGAAATAGAGAATAGATAAACAATAGAGAGAACAAATGAAACCAAGTAAAAAATCAACAAAATTGACAAACCCTTAGCTAGACTACTAAGAAAAAAAGAGAGGGCACAAATAACTAAAATCAGAAATAAAAGTGGGGACATTACTACTGACCTTACAGAAATTAAAAGTACTATAAGAGAATGCTATGAACAATTGTATCACAATAAACTAGACAATCTAGATGAAACAGACAAATTCCCAGAAACACACAAATTACCAAAGCTGACTCAAGAAATAGAAAATATCAACAGCCCTATAACAAGGAAAGAGATTGAATCAGTAATCAAAATTTTTCCATCAAAGAAATGTCCTGAACCAGACAGCTTCACTAGTGAATTCAATCAAACATTTAAAGATAAAATAACATCAACCCTACTCAAATTTTTCCAAAAAATAGAAGAGAAGGGGGCCGGCTCCGTGGCTTAGCGGTTAAGTGCGCGCGCTCTGATGCTGGCGGCCTGGGTTCGGATCCCGGGAGCGCCCCGAGGCACCACTTCTCCGTCCAACGTGAGGCCGAGTCCCACGTACAGCAACTAGAAGGATGTGAACCTATGACATACAACTGTCTGCTGGGGCTTTGGGGGGAAAAAAACTGAATAAATAAAATCTTTAAAAAAAAAAAAAAAAAAAAGAAGAGAAGGGAACACTTCCTAACACATTCTATGAGGCATTACCTTGATACCAAAGTCAGACAAAGACAGCAGAAAAAACTACAGATCAATATCCCTTATAAATATAGATGCAAAAATCTTCAAGAAAGGGCCGGCCCGGTGGCGTAGTGGTTAAGTTCACGCACTCTGCTTTGGCAGCCCAGGGTTTGCAGGTTTGGATCCAGGGTGCAGACCTATGCACAGCTCATCAAGCCATGCTGTGGCAGCACCCCATATACAAAATAGAGGAAGATGGGCACAGATGTTAGCTCAGAGCTAATCTTCCTCAGCAAAAAGAGGAGGATTGGCAACAGATGTTAGCTCAGAGCTAGTCTTCCTCACACACACACAAAAATTCTTCAACAAAATACAAACCAAACTCAACAGCACATTAAAAGGATTATACACCATGACCAAGTGAGATTTATCCCAGGAACGCAGGGGTAGTTCAACATAAGAAAATCATTCAATGTAATATACTATATTAACAGAAAAAGGGTGGAGGGAGAAACATGATCATCCCAATAGTTATAGAAAAAGTATTTGACAAGATTCAACACCCTTTCATGATAAAAACCCTCAGCAAACTAGGAATAAAAGGCAACTTCCTTAATATAATAAAGAGCATTTATGATATATCCACAATCAACATCATACTCAATGGTGAAAGACTGAAAGCTCTTCTCCTAAGAAAAAGAACAAGACAAGGATGCCTGCTTTCATCACTGCTATTCAACATTATACTGGAAGTCCTAGCCAGATCAATTTGGCAAGAAAAATAAACAAAAGGCATCCAAATTGAAAACGAAGAAGTAAAATTATCTCTAAAGATAACACGATTCTATATATAGAAAATCTCAAAGAATGCATGGAGATACTACCAGAGCTAATAAAGGAATTCAGCATAGTTGCACACAAGAATCAGTTGTTTTTCTATACACCAGTAATGAGCAATCCAAAAAAGAAATTAAGAAAACAGTTTCATTTACAATAGCATCAAAAAGAATAAAATATCAGGAATAAATTTAACCAAGGAGGTGAAAGACTTGTACACTGCAAACTATAAAACATTATAGAAAGAAATTAAAGATCTAAATAAATGGAAAGACATCTCATGTTCATGGATTGAAATACTTAACACTATTAAGATGGCAATCTTTAAGTGATCTACAGATTCAATACAATCCTCATCAAAACTCTAATTATCTTTTTCACAGAAATGGAAAAACCAATCCTTGAATTCATACAGAACTGCAAGGGGCCCCCAATATCCTAAAACAATATTGAAAAAGAAAAACAAAGTGAAAGGACTCACACTTACTGATTTCAAAACTTACTACAAGGCTACAGTAGTTGAAAGAGTGTAGTACTGGCCTAAGAACAGAAATATAATTGAGAATACAGAAATAAACCCAAACATATATGGCAAACTGATTTTTGACAAGGATGCCAAGACCATTCAGCGGGGAAAGAACAGTTTTTTCAACAAATGGTGCTGGGACAACTGGATAACCATGTTCAAAAAAATAAAGTTGGAACTCAGTCTCACTCCATACACAAAAATTATGACTCAAAATGGATCAATGACCTAAATTTAAGAGCTAAACCTATAAAATTCCCAGGAATAAAAGGTTAATTTTTATAATCTCAGATTTGGCAATGGATTCTTAGATTTGACACCAAAAGTATGAGCAACAAAAGAAAAAATAAATTGGACTACATAAAAATTAAAACTTTTGTGCATCAAAGAACATTATCAAGAACATGAAAAAGGCTATCTACAGAATGGGAGAAAATATTTGCATATCATATATCGAGTATGAACTTAATATCCATAATAAAGAACTGCTATGGGCTGGCCCCATGGCTTAGCGGTTAAGTGTGCGTGCTCCGCTGCTGGCGGCCCGGGTTCGGATCCCGGGCGCGCACCAACGCACTGCTTCTCCGGCCATGCTGGGGCTGCGTCCCACATACAACAACTAGAAGGATGTGCAACTACGACATACAACTATCTACTGGGGCTTTGGGGGGAAAATAAATAAATAAATAAAATCTTAAAAAAAAAAACTGCTACAACTCAACAACAAAAAGACAAACAACCCAATTAAAAAATGAATGAAGGACATTAAGGAAATGCAAATCAAAACCACAAGGAGATATCACTTTACACCCAGCACGTTGGCTTTAATTAAAAAAAAAAAAAAAAAAAGGAAATACAAGTATTGGCAATTTGGAGAAATAAGAATCCCTGTACATTACTGTTGGGAATATAAAATGGTACAGCCATTGTGGAAAAGTTTGGAGCTGCCTCAAAAAGTTAAATATAGTATTACCATGTGACTCAGCAATTCTATTCCTAGGTATATACTCAAGAGAAATTGAAAATACGTCCACAGAGAAACTTGTACACAAATGTTTATAGCAGCATTATTCATAATAGCCAAAGGTGGAAACTCAAATGTCCATTGATGGATGAATGGATAAATTGTGGTATATTGGTGGAATATTATTCAGCCATAAAAAGGAACAAAATACTGATACATGCTGCAATTTGAATGAACCTTGAAAACTTTATGCTAAGGGAAAAAACCCAGACACAAAAGGATATATATTGTATGATTCCCTTTATATGATATATCAACAATAGGCAAATACATAGAGACAGAAAGCAGATTACAGGTTATCAGCGGATAGGAGGAGGGAGGAAATGGGAGTGATTACTTATGGGTGTTTTTACGGGGTGATGAAAAAGTTTTAAATTAGAGCTAGTGATTGCACAGCATTGTGAATAGACTAAATACCACCAAATCGTACTCTTTAAAAAGTTTAATTATATATTACGTAAATTTCACCTCTATTAAAAAAACTTATGAATAATATAGAGCTTGTTTTCATAAAGAAATATATTTCAGGCATTAATTTTTAGCCTTTTCCTAAACTATTCGGTAAAATGTAGTTATCAAATAACTGTCTTATTTCTTGAGCTTGTGCTACACATTCAGTGTATTTTCCTCCTTCTACCCCAGTGGCCGTCAAATGTGGATTCTTCTCCTGATACTCTAACATTAAAAGTAACCTGTACCGTTATAGAGATCTGAGTTCCCATTTACTTTTTCTTGTTCAGATATAGATAAGTAAAAACATTTCTAACGAATTCATCATTTTTAAAACCCAACAGCAAAGAATTAAAATCTTTATGTAAAACTTTTACCTTGCAGCTTCTTGAGCTCCTCAGCTTTGGTGAGGTTCTTCAGTTCTCAGTTTTTCATGTTTTAAATTGCTCGAATAAGAGTTTAACTTCATTGGATAATCAACACTCAGAACTCTTACTCTTTCACTTTTTATACAACTACATTTTATGCAAATAATTATATGAAACTAACATTGCTAGTCAAAGGTAATATATTCATAAACAGACACAAATAATTTCAAGCTTTTTTCACAAGAATGGAGTGTGTTTTTATAAGAAAAAGTAAGCCTACAGTCAAGTTTTTATTATAAAATTAAGTCTTTAGAGATGCAGGTAAAAATATAAAATGTGGAAGTAATACTTTCTTTAAATAAACCACCACATCTTGTAGCTGTGGTTCATTTTTGTACAGCTAAGAAAATTTCTCAGAGAGATTTCTAGAATACCAGGAATGAGAGGTTTCCATATCAATTATTACAGCCTCTGCTCATCAATAAAGTAGCAGGTAAATCTTTAAATGGTCATAGCAAGAACAAAGACCAGTTGCTTTATTGTTCACCATATTTTCTTGCTGTCAATACAACACTCACAACAGTTAAAAATACACAGACTCACCTTCTACTGAACCAGTATTTTAGATTTAGCTACGTCAGTGGTTCTGAATCAGGGGTAATTTTGCCCCCCGGAGGATATCTGACAATGTCTAGAGATATTTTTGGTTGTCACCTTTGGAGTGCTACTGGCACTAATGTGTGGCCTCGAGTGATGCTGCTAAACCTACAACACACAGGACAGCCGCCAACAATAAAGAATTATCAGGCCCTAATGTCAGCCTTGAGAAACCCTGAGCTATATTAATGATCTCATCCACTTCCAGCCTAAAATCTGCACCACAATCTCAGAACACTTTACTGAAACTTTTTTTTTGTTTTGATATCACAAGCTATGAATTTGAGTTGTAATTGTAGGATCTTGGCTAGCAATACAATCTCAGGAAAGGCAGAGGTCAAAAATATTTAATAGAAAACTGACAGAGAATGAAATATAAAAAGGAACTAAAATATAAATCAACTCAGAGCTATGTATGACCAAAATTTAAAGATCTTGTTAGATTTCTGGATCTCTCCAATTTATTAGTTTTAATTTCCAATGTAAATAGTACAGGACATGACTGAAAATTAAGGAGCACTGCAGAGGTTCTTTCCATATTCATGCTATATAAATATCTTTTCTCTAAGACAAAATTTAAAGAAACAACTAAATCTATTGAATTCTATGTTTTACTTCAACTTTCAGCACTGTGTTTATCTTTGCTGGCACATTATGTCTTCTTTGGAAGGATATAAGCACATAAATTATTTCTTCTTCCTGGTACTTTATCAAGTTATAATAATGATAAAAGGAAATAAAGAAGAAGTTGTATATCAATAGAAGTCTATTTTTCAAATCGGTTAGCACTAAAAAGCACTTTAAAAATAATGCTATTTAGGATATCCTGAATTCCAAATCAGATTGTCCCAGAGAAAGCAAATGTGCTACACTGTTACTTCTCCTTAACCTGTTAGTTTCTTGGAATTAAAAAAAAAAAAAAAAGGTAACAAATGATCTTTACATTAAAATCTCAATCAATACTGGTCCCTAAAAGTCAGTTTAAAATAAAAATCAAGTTTCACAAAATAAATACACTGAAGCAACTATAATAGCAATAACCTTTATTTAAAATATTTTTTAATCTAGGAAAGCTCATTTTACATGAGTTTCCAACTAATTATTAGAGTCAGAAACAAAGAAAATAAAACCAGAGAAAATCCTCTATAGAAAAAATACACAAGGAACATTTCTACATGTGAAAAAACAGTAAACAATCTCAACATCTGAACATCCAAGTCTTAGTCTCATTTCCATCTCTCCTAGTGAACACCACTATCAACCTTGAGATCTGATTTGTTCTTGTCATTCTTCACTGAGTAGATGAAATATGTTAAGGTGTCTTTTTCATTCACTGGAATAGACCTAAAGTGGCAACCAACTATCTATAAAGAAAAAAAAATTGAGGAAATTAAATTATAGGTATTAACAGATTTCATAAACTAGGTAAAAAACACATTCATCAAAAGAAAAAGTGCTATGTTGATGGTAAGAGCTATTTAAAAAATAAATAAATAAATTGTATTTAACAAAATACCAACAGGACAACAAGCATATAATAAGATGCTATGAACAAGAGAGTGTGATTTCAAAGGACCCTTTGGCCCACTCAACTAACTATACATTAATTAGAATGTGTATTTCCTTTTATTTATTTTAAATTTTATAAGTGGAATCTAGATTAGGAAATATTTTTACTTTTAAACTTTAAATATTAATTAAATAAAACAGAACGTAAGAGTCCACATGCATTATATATAATATCTAGACCCTACTCACAGAAAAAGGAAAAATATGAAGTTGAGAAAGTTTTGGTACTATAGAAACAAACCATGAAATATCCTACAAATATGTTTGTTACAACTTGTATTCATTCATTGGCAGTATTGTTAAGGTTCCTTGAAAACTTTTCTGAATAAAAATTATGGATGGAAAATGAGAGGGGAAAGGGATGTTTACTGAAGAGTGTTTACCTGCTTTCTTTCCTTTTCATTTTGCTAATCTAACATGTGCACTATACCTATCAATAGAAGTGTAACAGACTAAACTGGAGTGCTGATATGCATATCTAGATTCTAGAAGATAAAACTGTAAAAGAAAAAATTATCCACACAATAATTAAGAGACTTAAAGAGGATAATCATCCCACTCTGGAATCACTTATAAATATCTGCATTTCTGACTAAGCTATACCACTCATGGCTATATGGATTACGGCTATTTCTTATTTCTAAAAGAGAAAACAGCTCTAGAATTAATATAACTTTTTTTATAAGATCAGATTATCAAAAACTTCAGATTTGATGTATGCATTTAAAAATTATATACATTTAAATGTAACATTTAAAATGATCTGTTCTTTGGTTCTCATTTGTCCCAAAACAAAGGTACCTTCACTCAATTAGTATTTGTATACATCAATATAGTTTCATCATGGTAGGCAATATCCACATTTATGTCATATTAATGTACTATACAATCCAAAAAGGACTAGATCTTTTAAATCAAATTTAAAGAAAAATGGGATTTTTGTTGCCTAGACAAGAAGGAAAAAAGAAATTCTGGTTAAATAGTTAATATATTGGATCTTAAGAATGCTAAAAAGCACTCTGCCAAAGAATTGTACCTTCTATTCATCTTTTATCTTATTCAATATGCACATTTTAGAAAATGTTACATTATGAAATTCAGGCTGAAGAATGAGAAAACTGATTTATATATTTACATTTCTATACTGTCTAGTAGGTTAAGTATATTTATTTTAAATATGATTAAAGTATGAATATATAAATCTATAAACACCTTAATATGATGCCAGATTTCTTGCTTCTATTATTTCCTGAGAACATACACTCAAGTTTTCAAAATTCACTAAAGACTAGAATTCCTATATCAAAGCAAACTCTAAGTCAAAGCTTGGATAAAAGTCTTTGTATCTTCTAGCTGTGATTGAAAACAAACTAATATCAATAAGGACAAATTCTGAAATAGTTAAATCAGCAAGTTATGGGAATATTGTTTAGGGGCTTATCCATAGACCTATTCCATCAGAACTTCAAAAAATAAATTCTAATAAAGACATCAGAGCTTATCAATTTATTTTATTATGCCTCAATTAGGTGTTCAGTAAATGTTTACTGAGTAAATGAAATTTTAAAATGAACAGATTTCTAGAATTAAAAAAACCCTTACTCAACATTTCTGAAAGCCAGTATTAGAAGATGCTTAGAGGGCCGGCCCCGTGGCTTAGCGGTTAAGTGCGCGCACTCCGCTGCTGGCGGTCCGGGTTCGGATCCCGGGCGCGCACTGAGGCACCGCTTCTCCGGCCATGCTGAGGCCCAGTCCCACATACAGCAACTAGAAGGATGTGCAGCTATGACATACAACTATCTACTGGGGCTTTGGGGGGAAAAAAAGAAAATAAATAAAATCTTTAAAAAAAAAAAAGAATATGCTTAGAAAACTACACACAATCCATTGAACAGTCACTATGTAAAGGAATTTTCTAAGTGCAAACATTTCTAGGCAACTAGATTCTTCCACAATAGATTTTTTATTAACTTTGATCTTTCTAACTAAAATATATTACTGTATACACTACGTTAACAATTTCATTAGCATTTAATGACCCTTTTTGCATGAACAGGCTCATTTAAAGTTTAAATAGTTTAAAACTCATATATACCTCAACAAGTTGCGCTTTATTAAGTCCTGGTCTGGTTGGCAGTTTGAAGTGTCTTTTGTATCTCCTAAGTGTATTTACTTGTAATTGGTATAAATCGACCTAGAAAAAATTAACATACGTGAATTAGTTCACAGAATCTGTTAAAAACTTATCTTTAATATGTATAACATTTCAATTTCAGCACAATAAAAACTTGATTCCATTATTAAAAAAGCCTTTTATACAATCAAAACTAAAAATGTATTAAACACTTTAATCTTTTGAGGATAAATAGTAAAAACTAGGGGCAAAAAAAAGTTATAAGACAACACAGCTATAAGAGGTGTCAATTGAAAATATAACAAGCAAAATTGTGTAACTGCATGTTAACTGGCTATATTTAATTTTGCTTTCATTTTCAGATTTTTCAAATGCTTTAAGTATTTAAAAAATTTGTTAATATCTTTTTATAAAAGTTTCAGAATGGACTACTTAGGATTTACATTTAATATCCAAAAACTTGCATCTACCTCTGGAGTATCAATATCTTGAACAGGTGAATCTCCTCCATCATCATCACTCCCTTTTCTCTTTCTTCTGTTTCGAACACTTTGAATTAAGTTTTTATGATAATCACAAATGTAAAGATGCCTTGCCTGAAACAGAAAATTTCACAGACTACTTATGATTACAATAAAATGTTTCTATATATTTAGTAAAATACATAGGCCACAGTGAATTATTAAAAATAAAAACAACAGTCAAAACAAGCCATTAAAACAATGGCATGTTTCTTTCTATTCTTAAGTCCTGCACCCAGCTAAAACATACTAAGTCTTACAACACTGTTAAGAGGATTGGTGGGTAGAGTGGTGAGGGGTGACAGTAAAGGAGGGGAGGCAGGTAGAGGAGAAGGAGCAATTTCAACCCTCTGGATTTTGTCATCAAATTACAGTGAAGGTGAACTAGATTAGTTAGGTCATCCTGTTTTATAACAAGGGGAAAGATGATGTTGCCCACCATTTCGCTATTTGATAGTATTTTTTTCTACTTAAAGATCATATTTTAGTAGCATAATGTATGCTTCCTCATTTTTCTTAATACTCCGATTACAATCCAGATACAGAACTTTCCATTTTTACAAATGTTATTGATTTCATATTCTAACTATATTTAAATTTGAATTATAAACTTTTCTGAGTATTAAATGTTACTTATCTGTATTACGTTTTTCCAATCAAAGCAATGTGAAATCATTCAAATTTACCTGAAAAGTTTCTCATGAACACGACCGAAGAACTAACTGTTTTAACAGGCAGAAAGTATCACAAATAAACTCTTCAAAAACTTTCATTACATATAGTCTTGTGAGCTGTATAGTAACATCTGAAACACGGAGCTTCACGTTAACAGTTACTCTTTAAAAACCAATTAAAGACCGAGCTAATAGGCTTTTAAATTAACTTCTAAGCTATGTGCAAGTTAAAAATACGCCGGGCGTGTGCTAGGTTCTGACATCTTGTTATTCCTTTACCGCCAGGCAGAGCTCCGAAAACTGGCAATAGTTATTTCTAAAAACCTCTTTAGAGGATCAAAAGAACAAACGTGCAAAGGACGGAAAAGAATCCTGATGGCTGCCGGCGGACGGCAAAACCGCAGAGGCTACGTGCTCCGCACGTTCGGAGCGGCTGCCCCAGCCCCAGATGCTGACACCGCCGACACAGTTCACAGTCCTGGCTCCCTGCGAGGCGCCGGGTGAGCTCGGGTTCGTTCTCACTCCGTGCTCGGGGGAACGAGGAGCGGGATCTTGCTTGACTGCGGGGTCAGGTCCTTGCGGGACTCCACTTTCCCTAGACGAGGGGAGCTACTCCCTGGTGCCAAACGCCAGCTTGGGCAGCAAAACAAAGAAGGCGCCTCCATTCCAGAAGGCGCTGCCAGGCTGCAAGAAAACTACTCCGGGCGGTCCCCTTTGTTTCGTTTCCCGATCTCCGCGGACGAGGAAGGGGAAGACAGAGAGCGGGAGAGGCAGGGAGCGGGGGGATGGGGGGAGGAGCGGAACCGCAGCGTGCAAGTGTGCGTGTGTCTGTTGGGGGTGGCGGTCGGAGTTGCAGCGACTTTGTTTGCTTCCTACCAGAGACCCCACAACGTGTTCGCACTGCAACCAGGTCCGGGGGGACCCCTGAAACCCCCGCCCAACAACCCCCGTCTGCACCGCTCCCGGAGCCCCAAGGGGGCGGGCAGGGCAGTCCCGTCGTCACTTACGCTCTTATCCAGCTCGATCTTCACCTTCTTCTGGGAGATGCTCTTCTGGATCCTCTTGCTGAAGCTGGCGTTGCCCGCCGCCCGGCCGCACCGCTCGCCGTCCTCCCTCAGACAGCACAGTTGCCCGGGACCCGGCCCGGCCGCTCCCGGGGGCCCAGCCGCCGAGACCGCCCCGG